ATAAATGAGACATTCTTAAACATCTTAGTGTGAAATCATGAAAGGTAACCATACCCTCCAAAAGAAAAAAACCAAACAAAAAAAGCCCCTTGCTACTATATTCAGAGGCAGAATAAGCTAATAACTGGTCTGTCCTTGTTATATATTTCTTAGATTTTATAAATAGAGGATATCATTTTATTTCTGTAATTTCTAAAAAGATATGTACATTGCTAGCAACCAGTTATAAACTCTACCTTACAAAGATTCATAAACGTGAATGAAATGTCTAGGAGTCCATCTTCTTTAACACCTTACAAAACTACTTTTTATTCCCCAATTCAGAGAATCCAAAGAATGATCCCTCTAGATCAGCATTCTACATACTTATTGTATGAAAATTAATGTCAAAAAGTTAATAAGTATTGAAGGAAAAAAAACTCCAGGGTCAAATAAATATACTAGTTGATACAGCCCACATCTAGCAGGAAAGATCCTATATTAAAGAATCTATTTAATTTTAACTTGCATTTCCTAAACTTATTTGACCACGGAAACTTTCCCCCCAGTTTATGAATTACGGACACACTAGTTCCACAATTCAGTTTGGGAAACAATGACCTAGTTACTTTCTTTTGTAAAAATATAAGAGAATTACTTTTATGAGAGTACATGTAGGGAGTTAAAGGTGCTGGGAGTAATGCTGACATTTGGTTTTCTTACGGTCAAAAGTTTCTGCTACCAGAGATAAGGATATGTGGCACTCTGTACTCATCTCCTAAGAACAAATTTTAACATGTATGTATGACCAATATTGAATAAAGAATCCCAGAACTCTACAACATGTCTGCACTCATATTTTACAAAAAGGAAACCACCACTCCCCCGGTTTTCCTTTTGTATCACTGGCCACTCCCTCTTAGTTTCCTCTGCCAATACCTTTTCTTCTCCCTAACCCTCTATTGTCAGATTCCCCAGAGCTCAATCTGTGGACCTTACCTTCTCTCTATCTCTACTGTGTCCCTTGGTAATCTCATACAGTTCCACGACTTTTTTTAATTTAACTTTTGTTTTGAGACAATTTTATATTCACATGTAGTTGTAAGAAATAATAGAGACTCCATGCACCTTTTGTCCAGTTTCTCCCAATGATAACATCTTACAAAATTATAGTACAAAATCATAACCAAGATATTGAGAGTGATATACCAATTTTATTCACATTTCTCCGGTGTTACTTGTATTCATCCCCATGACATTTAAAAATGTTCAGTGATATTTACAGCCTAGAACACTCCCCTCACTTCACATAAGTGAATGACTATGACATCTCCATTTGGATGTCTAACAGGCATCTCAAACTAAAACATGCTCCAAGCCAAAGTCTTCATCTTCCCTTCCAAATTTGTTCTTCCTAGTCTTCCCCATATCAATTAGTATCAATGCCATCTTCCCATCTGCTTAGATTAATAACTATGACGTCACCCTCAACATTTTCTCTATTTCACATTCAAACTATCAACAAATTCAAAATATATCCAAAATCAAACCTCTATCACCCACACTGCTAGGTGCTTAGCCTAATCCACTGCCATCTCCCACCAGATTATTACAAGAGCCCCCCAACTAATCTCCCTGATTTTGCCCTTGGTCTTCTGTAGTTTATTCTCAAGACAGGGACTAGAGTAATATAAACACTCTTCTCTATTTAAGGTTTTTTGTTGATTGTAGTTTTTACTCAGGTATACAAGACTCCACTATTCAAAAATCCTCTAATGAATGGCTTCTTATCTCAGAGTAAAAGCCAAATTCATACATGACCCACATTACCTTGCAGGCCCCATCTCCTACTATTCTCTCTTGCTCACTCATTTGTGGCCAACCCAGTCTCCTTGCAGTCCTTCCTTCAGGTCTTTACTCAGATGTCATGTCTCAGTGAGGACTTCTCTGAGCACCAACTCCTACCATGTACTCTTTATCCCCCTTCCCTACTTTATGTTACTCTACAGTATTGACCACAGTCTAACATACTGCATATTTTATTTACTTTTTATTGCCTGTCTTTCAGCACTAAATAAAACATGAGCTCAAGAAGGGCAGAGATTGGCACAAAGTAGATGTTTGAGAAATCACTGAAGAAATAAATGAGGCCCAAAGCAGCAAGGTGTTTTGCCAAAATGTGACAAAAATATGGCAAGAATCCTAAGTCTCTATAGTTTAGGAATCATTTTTTTCTAAGAATGGCGATGGATTCAAACTAAATTTCACTTTTTATTTGGTGGTAACCAAAAACACACGTGCATGAAATGACAATTTCTGATCAAGTGAATAAACTTGATGGTAACTCGTCAGCACCAAATTAAAATTCAACCAACTGCGTATAATAAGCAAATTTTGTACCAATTGCCTTAAGTGTTTTATTTATACCAACTTTTTAAAAAGGAAGTTATATGTGATAGAACTTAAGAGTTTAAAATTTAAGAAAATGAACTTGATAATACTATAAGATAGAGTCCTAGGAAAGAACACAAAGCAGTACTCCTACACTGTGATATCAAGAATGTAGTTTAGAGCTTTAACCAAGGTAGAGCAAGGATTTATAAACGAAAAAGAAACTTCTGTTACAAATGGAAAGAAGTTGTTGCTTCTGGGCAAAATTTTAAAATATTTTTAAAATTGGGTAGAAAGAGGGTGAATGACAAAACATCCTAGAAATAAGGAAATAGAGACTAGTATATCACCAGGTCCACTTGCTAAGAAACAAGCCACTTTGGGAGCTTTTGGAAAATCATTCATTTACAGTACTAATTAGTTGGGAAATTTAACACTAGTGGATTGAACTTTTTTGATTATTATTTGCAAGGAGCACATTACATAACATGCAGTCATCTAAATTGGTGTTAAGTTTCTTTTCTAAGTAAAATTAAAGAAGTTCTGATTTTAGAGTAAAAAACATAATTGAGTCATACTTTCAGAGCCTGCCTGTCCTCACAGCAGGTAAGATTACAAAAGGCATTTTGCTTGTCTTTAAGATTCAAGAAATTGGTATAGTATAATGACCTTTCAATTGTCCTGGAGGAAAACAATGTACGGTGCATTAAGTAGATATAGCTTTCAGTTTGTAGGCCAAATAATAAAAAGGCCTCCATAAAACAATTAAAGCAATCCTCCTATTTATATGATAAATCTAGAGCTTTCATATGAATTCTTTATTAGTAAATAATTCCTGAGGCACTTAAACAATACAATTTTTTATTAAAAGAAATTAATAGCATCAAAACTGTTTAGTAGATCTATATTTAATGTAACTAAAATAAACAAATGTCAAATTCTTAAAATATACATATGTATGAGGAGATATATATATGTATGTATGTATGTATATATATATATATAAAAATATAAACAACTACATTATTGGTCCCCATAATTTTTAATGTTACCTTTACCCAAAGAGACTACGTTAATGGTTAAGTGGATATTATATATTAGATGTACAAATATGTGACTTTAAAACTTGTTTAAGGTCTGCAAGAAGAGGTTTTGCCAATTCTTTACACTTTAAAACCCACAATTATTAAGATAATATTGATCATAATAATCCCAAAGTAAGACAGAGGATATAATAATGTCAAATGCTCTGAACAACAGCCAAAATAAAAAGCTATAAATAGGCAGCTATAAGGGAATCCATAGAGAATTCCAGAGAATCTCTTGGAGTTCTTAACAAAACAAAGCAAACACTAAACAACAGTTTTAAAGAAAAGAATATAAAAATAGACATCATAAAATAGACATCAGTAAATCTGGAGAACATAAAACCAAGTTCAAAATTAAATTTTTTAAAATTCAAAAATCTGAGAATTGGTATTCCTAAAAAACTAGAAAGTTAGTACTGGGTAATATATTTTAAATGATAGAAAAATAACTGCAATTTGGAACATAATTTTAGAGACCTGTTGTTCCAAGGACATGAAAATAACCATGGTTTCCTAACAACCAGAGAGCTTTTGTATTCCTTGGACTGCATTCATGCTAGATGAAGATTAAAAGGCAGCAGCCAAAATGACTATACTTCAACTTGGATGTTGAAGCACTGATCTGATGGGGTTTTCTTGGCCACAAGTGACCCACAAGCTTAAGATCAAGAGCCAAAGCCCCCAGTGGGAAGGTGTGCTCAATTTGGTGGGCCCTGAGACCATCTCTGGCTAAATCATCATCAGCCTGACGGGAGGCCAGCCATGAAGGAAGGGAGTCTCCCCAAAATCTGATTTCTTGAGACCACAACCTACAGCAGGTCCCACAGTCAAATTATTCACATTCCTTGAAAAGAGAGAACAGGCATCAGTTGTGTCCATCGAAGGGGGACACTGTCCAGGTGTACCCTGGACATTTTTTGAAATCTCTGGGCTGCCTCTGCATCTGAAAAATAAGAAAAATAGCACAATGACAGACAACGGATGAGGAAAAAGACAATCATCTGGCCTAAAAACTTAAGACTTATAAGAAATTACGAAAGCAGACAAAACACAAAAAGACAAACAGCCATATCATTTGGAATGTATTATTCTGAAGTCAAGTACAGCAGAGAAAAACACAAATTATTTTAGCAAAGTAAGAAATGACCATAGCAACAAAAGTTATTTTTGGAGAGAGCCAACTGGAAAAAAAAAAACCAAAACACATGTTAAGATATGTCAACCTGACACAAAGATAAGGTGGAATAAGAATCTAGTCCCATTTGAAGCTGAAAATTGCTGAATAATGAGAGCTAGTGTCATGAACTTGGCTGCTTAACTGCCTTTGTGTAAGAAAACATCTCAGAACTTTGAACTTAGGAAATTCCAACTTGTCTTGCACCAGGTCACGAGCTCCAAAGAGCAGGAACCTATTTCAACAAGCAGCTTTAAAAAAAAAAAAAAAACTTTAATATTTTTCATTTCTTTTAATGATACATTTTAAAATGCAATACTGCTAAAATCCATCAAAGTAAAATGCACTGAAGTAAAAATTAAACTTACTCAGAAAGATGTTCAGAAGTTGGGATACAAACAGAAACTGAAATTAGAAGAAAAGTTTTATATTTAAAACAGCACATGAAATATGATGAGTGAGAATAACGATTTAGTAAAGAGCCCATATTGTGGCTGACCAAAAATACTGGAATAAATATCAAAAATCCAAAGTAATACAATTATATATACGTACCTTTCTCTATTACAACTTGACAAGTATGAGTTTCATGTTGACTTAAGTGTGTGGCCATATTATCTAAGCCAGAAACATCAGCTATGAAATCACAATTAAGGCACACTAGAGTAATGCCCCTATAAAAAAAATAAAAGCAAACAGTATAAAAGAAAAGGTTTTCATCTTTTATAAAAATCCATACATAAGTTCAATGATTATTTTTCTATAATTTGTTTTTTATGTCATAACTGTCACTCCTGTTTTTCTTATAAAACTTGATATAACTGAAATGATTCTCTGGAAAATGGAATAGCCATATTCAAATTATGCTACCATTTATTTACAGAAAGTATTTTTGTTTTATAAACTTTTACTACTCATGCTAAAAACTAGGTGACAGGAGACCTACAGCCCAGCCTTGGCCTCACTAACAACTTGTGTTATTTTAACAAGTCACAATCTATCTGTGCCTCTGTTCATCTGCAAAGCAAGGATATAGTATTAATTCACTCAATATATGTTTACTGAGGCTGTCTTTATATACACTGTACTATTATGTACTATTATACCGCACTGTGATTATAATGATCACCAAAAAATATAGTCTGTGCTCTAACAGAGCTTATAATCTAGTGTTTTATTTAGGTGATGAAAAAATTAGAAGAGAAACGTTAAGGCTTTAAAAAGAGATGATGCTGTAGCTGCCATCAATTGTGTACCATGTGTTAAAGGTTTTCCCATATATTTTTAGTTTAATTCTCACCAAAACTATCCAAGGTTGGCATTATTCTCATTTAACACTGAATTAACTAAAGTAGTTAATTCACTACAGATGTCCAAAGCTTGGTCCTTAGCATATGAGCACAGTGAACTGGTCCACTATCTGGGGCCTAAATTACTTGTTCCTTAACAAAACTCCACTGAGTGCTGCAGTTCCTAAATGAAATCTGTAATGATTATAAATTTTAAAAAATGTTTGGAAACAATTCCCAAAGCTGTCAATACTTTTTGTTAAATTCAGGAATAGTTTTTATACTCACTGGATCAGACTGTGTAGCATTTGCTATTTGCAAATATTTAAACATAATTGGCATACAGGATGTAACACTGGCCTTCAGATTCTAATTTAAATTGTTTAAACTTTTGATTTTTTGTTGAAAGGTATTTAAAAATATTATTAGCCCTGCAAAAATATGGAAATATTCAGAGAACTTAGAAAACCACTCCATGTTTAACTTATTATATTTACTAGATTAAGCACTTTGGATCTTATGAGTCAAGCATACGAAATGCTGTTTAAAAGAAAATCAAATATATTAAATGTATAAATGATGTTAAGGTATTTAAAGAACTTGAATTGTAAATGTGACTATTTTTTTTTTAAAGATTATTTATTTATTTATTTGAGAGAGAATGAGAGAGAGAGCACATGAGAGGGGGGAGGGTCAGAGGGAGAAGCAGACTCCCTGCCGAGCAGGGAGCCCAATGCGGGACTCGATCCAGGGACTCCAGGATCATGACCTGAGCCGAAGGCAGTTGCCCAACCAACTGAGCCACCCAGGCGCCCTAAATGTGACTGTTTAAAAAATTTATTCAACTTAAGTGAACTTTATCAAACATTAATTAAAAGTCCTCTTGAAAGTGATTACTAAAATGTACTAGATTTCTAAATGGAATATTTTTAAGTTAAACTTAAAAGCTTAACTTTAATAACTAATTATATAGTCTTCTCTATTAATAAACTGCCCTTGCAGAAACCAAAAGTAGTCTCAATGGTAAGTAGTAGCTAAATTACTATTCCACTAGTCATAGTTACTTGCACCAGGGATGGAATGCCTAACTCATCATGCCTTCACTAAACAAGGATTTGTAAAACTGGGATTTATAATCAAATTTCTTGATCTGGGAAGTTGTGGGAGACTGGGACTAGTATATTTAAGTCACCAATAGAGAAAGCTTGTCTGCACTAAGGAAGGAAAATGGAACCCAGGTCCAGAGAAAATAATAAAGACAAGATCATCCTGCTTCAGCAGGTCAGACTAGAGAGAAGCCATGGTAGTAACTGATGGCTTTGTTTCCCTTATTTGTTCTGGTTGCACCTCTTCCTCCATGAGATTCTTTGAAATCCTGCTATAAGTGATTTTTGCTTAGGTGAAAAAAAATAGATCATGTAATGTGATCATTGTTACTGTCAACTTATTAACAAAGCATAAATGCGGTTTTGAAGTTCATCACATACTTTAAAATTTTAAGTTTTGCCAATATACAAAATACAAACAAGTAACATACTTTAGACTGACTTCTTCCCTGAAGTTCTAGTCTAACAGTGTGCTCTGTATCTATACCTAGACGTCACATTAGCACATCAAAACTGACCTTCATTAAACTAAAATCATGTACTTCTTCCCCAAATCAACTTCTCCTGACTGATCTTTTTTTTTTAAACATTTTATTTATTTGACAGAGAGAGAGAGACAGCGAGAACAGGAACACAAGCAGGGGGAGTGGGAGAGGGAGAAGCAGGCTTCCCGCCGAGCAGGGAGCCCGATGTGGGGCTCGATCCCAGGACCCTGGGATCATGACCTGAGCCGAAGGCAGACACTTAACAACTGAGCCACCCAGGTGCCCCATGACTGATCTTTCTTATGATGTTTCCTCCAATAGTAAAGCTCAAACTACAGTTATCTGTCTCTTCCTTAAAATATTCAGTATGGCAAGATTATAATATTATTTATTGAGTACTTATACTGTGCCAGTCTAACAATTTTAGACATATCATTTTATCTAAATATTTTAACAACTTGGGGCAACTGGGTGGCTCAGTTGGTTGAGTGTCTAGCTCTTGGTTTTGGCTGGGGTCATGATCTCATGGGTTGTGGGATGGAGCCCTGCGTGGGGCTCTGTACTCAGCGGGGAGTCTGCCTGGGGATTTTCTCCCTCTGCCCCTCCCCCCATTCTTATTCTCTCTCTCAAATAGATAAATCTTTAATAAATAAACACATAAATATTTTAATGACCTAAAAAGGTAGTTGCTATAATTTATCACCTTTTTATAAAGTTTGCTTAGTAAGGGGCGCCTGGGTGGCTCAGTTGGTTAAGCGGCTGCCTTCAGCTCAGGTCATGATCCTGGGGTCCTGGGATTGAGCCCTGCATCGGGCTCCCTGCTCAGCAGAGAGCCTGCTTCTCCCTCTCCCTCTGCCTGCCTCTCTGCCTACTTGTGCTCTCTGTCTGTCAAATAAATAAATAAAATCTTTAAAAAAAAAGTTTGCTTTAAGGAACTTGAATTGTAACTTGAATTAGGCCCTACTAAATTGTTCATAACTACAATAGTCCTAATCTATAGGATTCATGCATCTATAACTTACCTTGCTATTGAACCTTCATTCAGTATCACTTGATTCTATATAAAATATCAAAGGTTCTCTAATGCTCTCCAAATTAAGTCCAAACTCCTTAACCTTATTTTCAACACTTTCACAATTTAGCTCTAAGCTTAAAACTACTGCTCCAGACTTCAATCTTATTACTATTATCTAAACTTCATGCTCCATCCATTTACTACTAGCCATTCCCTCTGTATGCCTTGTACTTTTTCATTTCTGCACCTTTATTCACGCTATTTCTTTTAACTCAAATGCCTCTGTGCATCTTTTATCAGTATAAACAATGCTCATTCTTTAAAGCCAAGTATATCTAACACCTATGCAGATCATTCCAAGTTATCACCCTCCCCTTTGGAAAAAAGACCCTATTGAGCTTACTAAAGGTCCTCCTTGCTTTATTATAGTTTTATACATTCACCCCTTATCTCCCACCCAATAAACTATACATTCCCTGATGGTTGATTCCAAGACCTATTCATCACTGTCGTCTTCATAAGACCTGCTATATTATGTACCTGACAGATGTATAATAAATAGTCAAAGAATGAATATTCCATTCAGACAAAAGAGTAATCACAAAAATTATTGTTCTACAATCCTAAGTATGCTATGTCCATTCACAGAAATTGACCAGTTCTTTATTTCAGAACTATTCCAGTTGAAAGAAAAGTATTCCAGATCTTTAAAATCATATAGTTCATTTAAAAAAACACACACATAACTGAGCTTGACAACAGTAAGGTAAAAATCAAACCAAAATCTCATCTTTTGAAAAAAAACCCTTTTTTATTCCTATAAAAATTTTCAGTAAAGGCAACATCTAATATAATCTTAATCCATTTCCCTGAATTCAGTAAATGTTTTAGAATTTATACTACTATATTTTTAAAACTAAATCAAAATTTTCTCTCCCTGTGAGCTACTGATCCCTATGAGCTATAGCATAGGTGGGACCTACTGTTCATATAAATAATTTTCAACATATACATTAACTTATTCAACAATATTTACTGAGTGCCTACCATGTGTCAGGCACTAGTCAATGCCTGGCAGAGACAAAAATCCAAACTACACATATTCTAGCGAGAGGACACAGAAAATTTTAAAAAGTACACAGTATGTCAGATGATGAAAGATAATCTGGATAAAAATGTAGAATAAAAAGGAGATAGGAAGTGCTGGGGTGAAGCACAGGGGAGAAGATACAAGGTAAAATCAAGTGGTCAAGGAAAGGCTCACTCTGATCAGAGTAGCAGCCCAAAGTAGATAAAGGAATACATACAGAAATCTGGGGAACAAGACTAGTCACAGGGACTGATAAGTACAAAGGCCCTGAAACATAGTATCATCCCTTGTTCCACCTTTTCCACTAACTCAAAGCACCAAAACAAGTACTGGCTAACCTTATCTCTATATATTAGCTGAGGACAGCAAAGACACTGATTATTTCAAGTAGCAATGGCAATGTGAACAAAATAAAGAACAACAGAGTCCAAAAAATTCCGAAGAATATTAAGAAAAAATGGTGCTCAGTTGATTCTGAGTTAAGCATGTGGTACAACCAAAGTTAATTATCAATGTCTTTAGAAATATTCATCAATAGTTCTTTCTGCACAGTAAGCAAGTTGTATACTTCTCTTTGATAAAGGAAAAATAAGAATTACTAAGCTACCTAACAATTTCAAGAATTCCAGTGGTTTGAGAAATGTACTTCAAAACTAAAAAAAGTGTTAGTCATTTTACTAGGTATCTTAGATATCTTTTTAATATTCAAATATCGTTGGAGGCCTTATTTTTGTTCTCACTTTACAATATAAATGCATAAAGATATCATCTTGGTACCACTTGTCATCACTGAAACAAATTTAGCAAGAGAATATAGGCTAATCATACCTCTAGTCTAAGGATATAATGAATAGAACTCTCTAACATCCAGCAGCAATCATTTAGATTGGTCTTCCTAACATCAGGTTTTTAAAAAATTAGAACAAACCACAATTAGATACCACTCCATACCCATTAGGATGGCTGTGATCAAAAATAGATAGGGGCGCTTGGGTGGCTCAGTCAGTTAAGCGTCTGCCTTCGGGTCAGGTCATGATCCCAGGGTCCTGGGATTGAGCCCCGCATCAGGCTCCCTGCTCAGTGAGGAGTCCGCGTCTCTCTCTCTCTCCCTCTGTACCCAACCCCACTCTTGCTATCTCTCTCTCTCAAATCAATAAATAAAATCTTAAAAAAAAAAAACCAGATAATAACAAGTGTTGGCAAAGATGTAAAGAAACTGAAACCCTCACACACTGCTTGTCGGAATGTAGTGGAGGTACTTTGTAAAACAGTTTGGCAGGTCTTCAAAGGCTCAACATAGAGTTACCATATAACTCAGAAATTCTAATCCTTACACACGTACAAAAGAGAAATGAAAAGACAAGTCCAGACAAAAACTTGTATACAAATGCTTATAGCAGCAATATTCATAATGGCTTCAAAATTAAAATAACCTTAACAGATAAACAAACTATGGTAGATCTATACAATGGGATATTATTCAGCAATAAAAAATGAAGTACTGACATGCTACAACATGGACGAATCTTGAAAATATGCTAAGTGGAAGAAGCCAGTCACAAAGGATCACATATTGCATCATTCTGTTTATACGAAATGTCCACAATACATAAATCTATACAAACAAAAATTAGATTAGTGGTTGCTTAGGGATGGGAGGAGTTGGGAGGAAATGGGGATGACCGTTAATGGGTACAAGAGTTTCTTTTTGGAGTGATGACAATGTACTAAAATTAACTGTGGTGACGGCTGCACAATTCTGTAAATACACTGAAAACTATGAACTGTACAATTTAAAGGAATGAATTAAATGGTATATGAACTATATCTCAATAAAGATGTCATATATACACAATTTAAGTTAAATAATTTTTCAATATAAAGATTTTAAAAAGATCAACTAGTTACCTGAGATCTTCTGAATGCTTCTTAAAAATACAAAACCTTTTACTTGGACGGTTACTATGAAAGCTGGAGAGACAAAACAGATACTATTAATTTTATTATACAGTAAGTCTTATTAATTTATAGCTTTATTATCAAGTTTGTACTTAAAGTTTCTAGTTTTACATAAAAGATCATGATATAAATAATAAAATAATGCTTGCCATCCCTGTTTAATTCAATGTTTTATTCTAAATTCCACTTTATCCTTTTATTTTCTAATGACACATATTTCTCTAAGTATATTCTTATAAGATCAGTACCTTACCATTACATAAAAAAAGGAAATACTTAAAATTCTTTTTAAAAAGTAAAGTACCTCAAACTAGTTTTTTTCATCTGTTAAGGAACAGTTGAAGACAAATTCTTGCAAATAACATGAATCATTATCAATCATCATTTTTTAAAAATCATTTTCCAATCTTAACATGCCTATATCAGGGGAGGGGGAGTAAAATCCAAATGATCTGTGAAGTAAATAGTACTTCAGCTAATTGCCACTGTTTACCATTTGTAAAATCAAACATTTAGAGAGTTCTTTGCAATTACTAGTAGAAGTTCTATAAAAAACAAACTAAAGCAGAACTCTTGAGCTAAAATAATGCTCCCCCTAAACACAAAACAGAGAACCTCTAACCAAACTTTGTAGCCAATGATAATAGCTTTCATATACCCTTTTAAATCTGGTAAAGAAAGCTTTCCTGTATTAGAAACCCAGGATTAGCTTTAGCACAGTACTATTCAAAGTGTAGTCATAGACTAGTAACATCAGCATCGCCTAGGAGCTTATTTAGAAATGCAAATTCTTGTGCCCCCCCCCCAAACCTAACTGAATTAATCTCTGGCAGTGGGGCCTACCAGAACCTGTTTTAACAAGTTTTTCCAGTAATTCTTATGCAAGCTAAAGATTGAGCAGCGGTAGCCCTAGTTTGCACTGAAAGACTCAAAGTAGCCAACACACCAGGTCAATGGTAACTCTCAGATACAAGGTAACCATCATCAGTACAGCATGTACTGTATGGGAAAAGAAACACTGTGACTTGCTATAGTCCCCAGAAAATGTCCTCAGAAGATTTCTAAGTCATTTCTTCAATTTGGGGATAACTACTATTAAATATAAGACATTTATATGAATATCTTATAAATATAAGACAACATCACAAAAATATTAAGTAGGTTTTTTTTTTTTTAGAAGAGAACATTGGGAGTTAGGAAACACTGAAATTATATGCAAAAATTTGTGCACGTAACTGTTTCTTCAGAAGAATAAATCCAAGATTTTATCTGATGCTCAAAGAATGTGAACCAAAATAAGTTATTTTTTAAATGAGATTTAAAAGTTACTTTTAAAAGTTATTTTTTCTTTTTCCTCAGACAATTTTGGTTTGAGAAGAGAAAAAAAATTACATTTTAGGGTCTTTGATGGCTTCCATTCTGTCTACAACTTGTAACTTATTAAAATGTTGGTAATTTTAAAATTCTAGTTGTCCGAATCCAGTTTTAATTTAGAGTTTCCAATCTACAAAAAAAACTTATAGTGCCTCTTTATTTGTATGTTACACAAATTCCATCCTTTATTATTCTTGTATTATAGTCTATAGCTCACAAATAAGAAGGAAAAAAATTCTTTTTCCTATTAGATCTGCATAAAGTTAATAACAATATAGAAATAAATCTAAGAGAAGAGAAAAAAGGTTACGATTTTAAAAACAACATAGTAAAAACATATGTTAAAGTCTAGGTTTTAAAAATTCACCACCTGGTTATATGACTGTACATAATTATCAAAACTCATTAAGCTATTCTCTAAACATAAGTTAATTTCATTGTTTATAAATTATACCTCAATAAGACTAGAGGGGAAAAAACTCCCTTTGACCATATTTTCTTAATAATCTCAATTCAGTACCATTAACAACTTTGTTTCTGATGAAACACAAAAGGAACATCAATAATATTGATGGTATGCCTACTACTTAAGACATTACACTAGAGGTTGAAGATACAAAAAAAAAAGAGGGCAAGCTGTCAAAGTCCAGGGGTGAGTGGGGGGAGGGGAAAAAGTCAAACAACATCTAGCACAGAATAATGCCTAATAAGTGCTTTTAAATGAATGAATACATATTCATAAATAATTATAAGATAAACGTTAATAGTGATACATACAAAGTTTTGTGGCTGCATGAAGGAAAACTGCAAGTAAATGGAAAAGAAGCCAACTAACAATCAGGACTTCATTTCAGTTAAGAAGGTCACTACTGCCTTGCTCCAGACAAAGCAAAGAGCAAGATACAGAGGGATTTTCAGGAAAAAAGCACTAAAGGAGCTGGAAAAGTGGTTAGAAATTAAATATTGAAAGGTCTTATACTCTCCAGAATATCTGAACTTCATGACTATTAATGTTAGGAAGGCAAAGGATTTTAGGCCAAAAATGACCTGATCAGACATGCCTACTGTAGTAACAGAAGAAAGGAAGAACTGGACGGGGGAGGGGGCGGACTGTAGACAGGACATCAGTTATGACGCTATCACAATAATCCAATTGTTCTTCTAATGACTATTACTTAATGCCAATAAATCTATACAAAATATATAATGAACTCAAACACATCTTATAAAAATTAATTCAGTGCTCTGTCTTATCCATTGTATAGGAACAAACTGTTATACCATCTTTCTTTTTCCTTGGAAAAATTTTAGATCATCCTTCTAAGCCTATGTGAAATGTCATTTATAGACTACCTCCCCTTTTTTTCCTGTTGAAAGAACTCATTCTTACCTTCTTGTGCTCTCATAGTCATCTGTTTACCACCTTAAGTTAGGTAAATATTATCTCTCCTACTAAAATTGTTAAAATTAGAGGCAAGGACTTTATCCACAATACCTAATAATGACAACTTAGAAATGATAACAGCTATAATTACTTGAACATCTCCTAAGTAAAAATCATTTTATTAAGCACTTTAAGTACATTTTCTGTAATTATCACAATGACTTTCTTTTTGAGAAAAGGAAACTGGGAGTCAGGTTAAGTAACTTGCCCAAAGTCACAGGTAATAAATAAGTGGTGAAGCTTGGATTCAAATCCAGATTTGTCTGATTCTTCACCACCAGCTTGCCATACTTCTTAGCAAATAGTAAACTCTGCTAGAAAAAGAGATATTAAATACTTATGTCCATTAACTTAATTCTATTACATGTAGAGAAAAACCTTTCTTATACATCATGTTGAGGAATAACAATATTATATGGTAATTTGTTTCCATTTTTTTCAGGTGACTTCTAGTGCTACCTGAAGGCTATAAGCAAATAAGGTGCAGTAATTTAAACAACCAAACCCAAATAATACTATTATTTTTAAAAAATCACTTAAAATTACATGTTTAATGATGCTCTTCTTCAAGAGTCTTATTCCAAAAAGTTTCCAAATGCATCAAGATTTTTTAATATCCTCTTGAGATTTTATTTAGAGCTTTTTATAATTACAACAAATAATGACTTGCTGTTTGTAATGTGCTAGGTGACAAGGCGAATACAAACAGCCCCTTCTTAAGGAAATAATATAGACACAAACAAATATAATAAAAGGCAAAATAAATGAATGATACACAGCTCAAAGTGAGGAATGATCCTTGGAAGTGGTTGTGGTGATCAGACACTCCCAAAAAAAGAAGGTAAATGGAGAGGAAGAATAGGGACATTCTAGAGACTTAAAAAGAATAAGGAATCACCACTGACAAAAATGAGTTATGCAGGGGCGCCTGGGTGGCTCAGATGGTTAAGCGTCTGCCTTTGCCTTGGGTCATCATGATCCCAAGTTCCTGGGATCGAGCCCCACATCGGGCTCCTGGCTCAGTGGGGAGCCTGCTTCTCCCTCTTCCTCTGCCTCTTCCCCTGCTCATGCTCTCTCTTTCTCTCTCTCTCTCTGTGCCACAAATGAATAAATAAAATCTTTTAAAAAAAATGAGTTATGCAATAAACTTTACTCTGGGGAAGAGTAGTCAGTTTACGGGAATGGGGCAAATATGAGACCAGAGGGAAAGAGACCAACTGAGAGTACCGAGGTGGTATAGGATAGAGATTAAAGGTACTCATCCTCTGGAGAAAATGAAGCTCCTACACATACAGAACTCAACCTATAATAATGAATCCACACTGGGCAGAGGTAATGGTGGCCATTCAAGGAGATACCTAAGACAGGGAAGGAGGCAAGTGTACCAGTAGATAAAAAGGAAGAGACCTACCAAACCCTAAAAGTGGCAGTGGAATCTTTCAGTTCCATAAGAGGCTAACAATGAGTAGGAGCTCAGTGTGTGAAGAAAATGAAGTGCAGGGCTGGGGCTCACTGGGAACAGGCAAAAGGGTATGGAGGGAGGTGGGCTAATCGGCAATGTTGGAATAGAATGGATTTGAAGGTTCCATAGGACAGGTGGGAAGCCTATGATAAATGGGAGAGGGAAAGGTGAAACGACCCCTGGTTTAACAAAACAGAAAACATTTTCCAATTTGACCCCCTACAAATTAAGGGCAGAATTAAAGCCCCATTCGGGCAACCATGTATTTGTCCACACAGCAGTATACTGGGGGAAAGGATGCCTGGAGCCTGGTTTAGAGGAAATGGAATATAGGTGTATACCACTGCAGTAGTTGGGAAGCAGAGTAGCAGAATGCAAAGAGGGGAGTCTCAGAAAGCCATGATGCACAGTGGCTGATCGAGAGAACTTCACGAGCTTAAGAAACTTGGGATAGTGAACTATTTCCAGCTGGTGTTCCACATGCACAGAAATGATGCCCTGAAAGAGTATTTGGGTAGTTGTTGTGTGAATTCTAGATAAATGATAATGTTTGGTTCATTCTTTTTAGATGCTAGTGAATCAAAGGTAAAAATACATATAAAATAATTGGAAATACAGAGTTGGATCTCAGGAAGACTAAGGACTAAAATTGGAAGATTTAAAGTTGAAAGTTAAAAGTGACTGCTTAAGTTACCAAAAAAGGAAATGTAAAGAAGGATGATGAGTTAAAGGAAGAAAAGGCAATGAAATAGAGTAGCCAAAAAGGAAGAAAAAAGATAGTGGTAACAGTTTAACAGAAGCTAAAGAGAATACTTTCAAAAATGAGTGATGACAGCTTCAAATACTCTAAAGAAGTCATGAAGTAGTAAGAGTGAAAAAAAGTGAATAAACATGGTGATAAATAATCTTTAAAGGAGCAGTGTTAGTTGGTAGATGGGGATGATATTCAAAAGGTAAAGAAATGAATCACAAATAAGCTAGTAAACACTTTTTTTTTTTTTAAAGTAGGCTCCATGCCTAGTGTGGAGCCCAACACAGGGCTGAACTCACGACTCTGAGGTCCTGAGATTGAGACCTGAGCTGACATCAAGAATCAGACACTTAACCAACTGAGCCACCCAGGTGCCCCATTACAAATATTCATGGTAAGAGGAAGACAAAATATAAGGATAGTAGGCAGTAGGGACAAATTTCCTTCATCTTAAAAAAATTACCTGAAAATGTTTATAAGTAGAAGGAACCTGGGAGAGAGAAGAAATGAAGTTGTAAGTTAACTGAACAAGACTGTATAAGAACTAGAGGTGACAAGGGACAGGGTTAGCTTTGGAGAAATAGAATATACGTGATTTCTGAGATCAATGTCTAGAATAAAAGTAACAAGAAAAACATTTGACGTTTTAGATTATTTAAAAGGATGACTTCCAACTGAGTACTTACTAGTAGACCAGGTTAACAGCTACGAAACTAAAATAAAATCTCCAGAGTACTGGAAAAAGTTTAAATAAACATTGTAGATAAAACACGACATCAAAAACTAATGATGTACTATATGTTGGCTAACTGAATAGAATAAAAAAAAACTAAAAAAGAAGTATTAAAAAATAAAGAAGTATTTTAAAATAAAAAGATAGGATCCAGTCAAAGTTAAAGACCACAAAGTCAGAGTTGATTGAATCAAACACCGGTTGAGTAGTCTAGAACTGAGCATAAACTTCAGGAGAGGAAGATGTTCTAGTCTCACGTTGGGTTTTATGCCAAGTGAGCACGACTAAAAATGTAAAGGATTCCACAGCAAAAACAAAGCAGCAATCAAAACAGATGACCCTGAGGATGAGGTTGACTATAAAATTAAATAGGTGCTGCTGGACTGGAAAAAGGAGTCAAAGTCCTAAAAACTCAAAAGGAGTTATCCTACAGGGTAAGAGGAATTGGAAAGAAATGAACAGTGGGTATGATGAGATTAAAATGGTACTGTGGTATAAGAAAGGGGGTACAATAACTTAACAGTTGATGTGAAGCACTGGCACTGAAGAAGTCCAGGTACCTGATGTCAGGCTAATAAGGAGGAAAGAATGTATGAGAGAGGTGTTAAGCCATCAAGAAAGGTGGGCAAATCCTTGAAAACAGTAGCTGAGAAGTGACCAGAAAGTAACATAGAGGTCATTTTATGATCTGTAAGAAAATCACTTTCATTCTTCAGTTCTAACTTAAAAAAAAAAAAAAGAACCACCTCACTTTGAATAATCAACCTAACTGCTCTATATCTAAACAATTTTTGACTATTTTTAAAAAAATAAAAATCCATCCTAAGGGATGTCTCTATTAATGAGATACAAATGAAAGCAATGTGGGCTGTGAAAGCTTTCTCTGCATAGAGCAAATATTAGCTACTCAAATAACCCAAGTTGAATGAATTAATAAAAAAGAATTCCCCAACAACAGTGGCCTCATGTCTCTCATTCCACTGAATGAATGCAAGGATAGATGGTTTGATGGGTAGATGGACAGACAGAGACCATGGATTATAGAGAAAGAGAGAGAGAAAAACAGACCCAATAAAGTTCCTAAGATCACTAAAAATCTTACAGTCCCTCAAAGTAACTGCTTTGAAAGAATAATATTCATGAGATTACATGTATTTGTTTGGTAAATATATTTAAAACATTTGACTTTCTATATTTGAAAATGACCATTTAAAAAATTCTACAGGAAAAAAAAATGCCCATAGAGAAACCATTTCCCTAACAAACCTACCCTAATTTCTTAGTCTAACTGTTCTTATAATTTTAGTTCCAGTAATTTTATGAGTTACGATGCTGGGAAAATAGTTCCAGGCATTATCCTAAAAGTTCCCTATTATGAGACATTTAGCTCCTTAAAGGATAACTGTTTTAAAACAAACTTTCTGAACTATAATTTTAATTGGTAATTACCGATGTTTAACTCATCTTACCTCATCATATGATTTACATAGGCTTTGCTACAGCTAGTGTTGTATCTGCAAAAACTACAATGGACATACGTAGGAAAGTGATTTGCAAAATCTTTTATTTCGGAACAACACTCAATGCACTTGTGAACTCCCCGACGATACCTTATGGAGATATAAAGAAAATGATAAAAATATATTTTAAAACAAAAATAATAAGGAAGGGCCTTATTAATATTCTGTTAATTAAGGCCAAGGTGTTTAAATGAACATAAGAGTCATAATTTGAAAAATCTGTTATGGAACAACAACTAGAGTAAGTGTAAACAATCTAACATAAGTCAGTGTTTTTCATTGGCATAAAAGGGATTAAATTAAGCAATACAAACATCACAAGATATAAGCACAACATATAATAATACCAATATAATAAATGAATATTATAAAAAATAATTCAAGTACTGTTCAATAGTTGTAAAAAAATACCTTTTTATTATTTGCTTGGCCTTTATGTCATAGTGATAGCATATAAATGTACAAGAGAGCTGTGTAATAGAGTAAATCTATATTAAATAAAGTTTTTATACTTAAGATTAAATTAGTGTTATATATGAGGAATAAAAGATTACCTTAAGTTCCTCAATGCTGTATTGACTTTACTTTTTTTATTGCTACTAGCCAATGTGCTTTGTTTCTTTTGCATATTAGAGATTTTTGATTTATATTTAGATTTACTTCCATTAGGCTTACTTGCATTAGGTTTACTTGTATTGGATTTAGTTGGATTAGGTTTGCTTGTGTTAGATTTTGTGGGATTTTTAGCAGTTATATTTTTAGTCCTTGGAGGTGAGAGCTGAAGGGTAGAAGTGCTTGCACTAATGGAAGGTGTAGTTGAAGATCCTGACTGAAGCGGTCCAACTGAAGCTCGAATAGTAACCTACAAAAATGGATAATGTTTGCTTTAGAAAATTAATCATGGCATTAGTATTAAAATATCACTGTATAACAAAAAGTTAAACATTGAGTATTTGGAAAGGGCAAGTATAAACTATAATTGGATAAGTCTTCCATTTATTCTAAATGTTCATACCAATTAAATTATATTAAACTTGATATTTATTCACTTGTAATACTACATTTTTGTATTGATATCAGTCATGTTAACAGTTATTAATGTATAATTAGGAGTTAATGCAAATTATATGACTACTGAAAGAGCACATTCCATAGCTATTTTTATGCTCTGATATAACTTAAATAATTCACAAACACAGAGATCAAAATTTAAATCTCAGAGCCCAAAAAATAATTCTAGAAAGGCCTGCATTACCCCTCAAAAACTATAAAACAAAAAGATCTAGAGTAAACACGACCTCCTCTTTCCAGGGGCTCATTAGGCAGGATTTATGTATACAAAGGTTATGGGAGTGGTTACATCAATTCATTATACTGATGGAGAGTTTAGTAATATTTAGAATTTCCTTAAAGAGAACTAATATAAAGCTTATCATTTAGTATCCAGAAATTATATTTGTTGGTTGGCAATGAAAAACAATTGCCTACCAACATTCTTATTAATCATTTAACTATACTTCTCGCATGTATTTGAGGAACAGACTATGAGGAAGTCCTATGAAATACATGTGTTTTGGTATCACACAAAAGCACTGGACTAGGAATCAAAAGACCTGAGGTTAAATCTCATACCATGCCTTCCTAGCCATGTGACCTTGAATAAGTAACTTATCCTCTTCTTTATCTACAATATGGGGCAATTAACTGCCTATCTTCCTCATTGGATTGCTGTATGGATTAAGTAATAGAATGTATGAAAAAGCATACCAAAAGCCTTATTCTAAGGTGCTATAAAAACATTTAGTATCATTATTAATATTATTACTATTATTATTAATAAGGGAAAATATGAGAGAGGACTGCACTGCTTACATTAGTGTTCTGCATGTCTAGTTCCAGCATGGAATGAATGGACTGCAGGGAAGGATGCTGGATAGCTTCTCTTGCTCTAGGTCTTCAGAGCATGGCTTTATATTGTTTTAGTTAATTCAAATAACAGACATACCCACATTCAAAGGTAAGTACCCAAAGCCAAATATAAATGTTTTGGGGATTATTTCACTTTGGATTATCCATGCCTCTGTTTCCCTCCACTGGAGCAAATATTCAAGAGCTGACTGTATATAAAGAAGTCAGAGAAAACAGAGGTATATAAGGCAAAAAGGGAAAAGTAAATTACAATCATCAGTATACAGTCAGACATGTTGTTTGCTCACTTAAAACATAATGCTATCCAGCAGCAGAACTTGCTTCTCTGACAGTAGACTCAGTAATAACAACGTCAATAAAGATCTGAGAACCTATGGCACTCAAGGCACTATACCAGATGCTGAGGACACAAAGATAAAACATGAGTCCTGATCTCAAGCATCTTATAGTTTAGCAGATAAAACCAACATATACACTGCCAACTGGAATAGCTCAAACACAGCCTATATAAAATTGACACAACCCACTGACCCAGGGAATAGTTAATCTAGCTGTACTTTTTACAAAGGAATATCACTTTAGCACAGCACACACCACTGACCATAAAACGATGGTCAGAAGGGTTTTTTTCTAGATATAGGAATGATAAAACCTAAAATTAAAGGCTTAATAAAAATCAGACATCATTTTTTAAAGTATATTCAACAGATAAAAGAAGGCAGGAGTTAATTTCTATTATCATACAAAATGTTAAAATACAACACATTTAAACTCACTTTTGTTCCAGGAGGCAATCCTTCCAGTTGTTTAGGTTTTATAAATGTTCTATGATGTTGAGTCTTATGATCCATTTTCTCTTTGCATGTCAAAAATTGCAGTCTGCATTTTGTACAGCGATGTATTCCTTTTTTCTGTTTTAACAGAAAAAGGGAGGAAAAATAATTTCTACAACCACAAATCTTGTATCCTTAAATTGCTCTAATTTTAATGATACCTAAATAATTTTAAAACTAGTATTTTACATCACCCATAAAAATAACAGCAAATTTTATCTCATTTTTTAAAACACTCTGCATTAGTATTTGGGTTTCAAAAATGTCTATTCCTATACAGAAATTGAACATAAAAGTTCTATCTGTAGGTTCTAATGAAAGTTCTCTCAACAGTGGTGTGAAAGCTCATCAAATTATAATTTTAAAGTGTTTAGACACATGATATGGTTAAAACTATACTATGTTTTTATCCTAGACAAAAGTAAATTCTTCTTAATTTTTGCTATTTCCAGTTGGTTGACAAGTTGGTAAAATAAATTCAATTAACCAGACATTTCAAAGAAGGTCGTTATAGAAATGGTTGTATAAAGTAGTGCTGTCTAATATAACTTTCTGCAATGATGAAAATGTTCTACAGCTGCACTGTCCAATATGGTAGCCACTAGCCACATACAGTTATTAAGCAACTGAAATGTGCCAAGTGCAACAGAGGAACTGATTTTTTAATTTTATTTAACTTTAATTGATTTTAACTTCAATAGCCACATGAACATTGAACAGTGCTGATATGGAGACATAAATCAGAACAACTACTGCCAATCTATTTACTGACTGATATCCCTTGAGTGAGTCCCTCTTTAAACCCAATCCTGTTATTATTCTATAGCTGGAAAGCAAGACCCAAGAAAAATCTAAATCACTCCCCCTTAACTAGTTACTGGCGCTGCCAGGCTCCTGATCCAGTGTTCTTTCTACTATATAATATCAACTACAATCTACAGGCTCTCATTAAGAAATGATATATATACGTACATATATATAAACTTAAACAATACATAAATACAAAAGAATGTTTTCTCAAAAGTTACATTCTGCCAGATACATCACTATTTCCATTTAAATGCACTCAATCATTTATAAAATTCGAACAAGGTAATATACTGAGAAGTACCTGGCACAGTTACTAGCACACAGCAGGCATTTCATAAATCAAAGCTCTTTACAAAATTCAAAGCAATGTATAAATATAATGCGTTTGTATTACTATTCTAGCTGCATCTTAAGACTATTTTGGAAGTGTGGTGCATTGGATTATATCGTAGATACAGGCAATTTTTAAAAATTCACTTATATGTGCTGAAGGAAGAGGCAGAAAATGAAAACTTGGCCAAGAAACAGATACTAAGACAACAGGACAGAAAGAAAGTTCTCCAGAATCCGATTCCCAGAAATCTTTTTTCTATCTATAATCACTCCCCAGGTTACCTCATCCAGTTTCATGGCTTTAAATACTATCTATCCAACTGTCTACTTGACATCACTACCTGAGCGCTAATATGCATCTCAAATCAACATGGACAAAATTGAATTCTGGATTTTCCCCCTACCTCCCTGTCCCCCCCCAAATCTGTTCTCTCAGTCTTCCCCCTGTGACAGTATATGAAAATTCCATTCTTGCAGCTGCTTCAGACAAAAACTTGGTAACTCACTCACACACCCCATATCCAACCTATTAATAAAATCTGTCAGCTCTACCTTCAAAAACTTTCATAATCTTTCCACTCCTCATTACCTCAAACTACTGCTGCCATACTGGTCCAAGACACTCACCTGGACTCTATCTTCTTCCTGTCATGTTCTTTCCTCCCTGTGGTTTATTCTCCCCATAGCTGCCAATGATCTTAAAACACGGCAGATTGTTCACACACTTAAATACTCTGATGGTTTTCCAAAGTCCTGTTTCTGGTTTACAAGGCTCTGCATGAACTGGCCTGCATTCTATTGCTACAAGCTAATCTCCTATTAGTTTTCCTCTTATTTAGTTTACTCTGCTCTAGCCACAATTGGTCTCTTTGCTGTTCTCTGAGTACCCCATATGTACATTCACTTCAATGCTTACAGAATATTTCCTTTCCCAGATTTCCACATGGCTTATTCCTTTATTTCCTTCAGAGAGGCTCATGTTTTACCACACTACATACATAACAGCAACCGTTCCTCCACTCCCAGTACCTCCCTGGTACTCTCTATCCTCCACATATTCCTTCCACAGTACTACAACCAGCTAGCGAACATATACATTCAAACATAAACACACATATATTTATCTTTCTCTACTATTAATTCAAATTCCAGAGAGCACAAACTTTGTTTTGTTCACTGCTATATAATACCCAAAATAGCCCCTGGCACATAGTAAGGCACTCAATAAATATTTGTTAAATAATTGGACTGTGAGGCAGAAAGCAAGACACTGATAGGGAAAGTGCATATGAGAAGCAGGTACAATTTAACATGTCTGCCATTCCATTTAATGAACATTTGTCCAGACTCATGAGATAGAATATATTAATCTACTATTCTCTTAGTTGGACACAAGTCTTGCACATGTCTCTTGTGCATGAATGCATTTCAAAGTGATAAGAATGATAAACAGTACATTTTTAAATAACATCATGTTCAATCAATGAAACAATGATCTATTTTGATAGAGAAATAATGATCTGTTTTGAACTTTTTTGATACACATACTCCACTGTTCGGGAGACTTGAGGGATTTAAGAGTAATTATGACTTTATGTAATTTCTGCCCTTAGACCTAATGTCAATGTAAAATCTGGGTCTGTGGTAAAGCAGTAAAAGCCTGGGCTCTGAAGTCAAATTTTAATTCTGCTTTTTATTAGGTAGTAGGACACTGAGCAAGTTACTTTCTCTAAAACTTTGTTTCCTCATCTAAAAGTTAGAAATAATAACACACATATGGTGATTGTGAAGATGATAATGCTTGTAAAGCACCTGCTGCTGCCATAAGGTAAGTGACTTCATATGTTAACTAGTTAACATTTTTATTAAAGATCTAATTAACATACTTGACACATCTGAAATCACTTTTATTATTTCTTAAAAGTCATACAAACTGGATTGCTAACTCTAAAATCACCCGAGACTTAAGACTTCTTTTAAAAAAAAGTTACATCCAAAGTCTTTGAAGACAATAAAATGAGCCAGAGAATCAACAATTCTTATTGTCTAATACCACACTGATATCATCTCAATTATAAGTAATAGTCCTACTCAGCTATGGTGTTCCAGTCTTTGTAAATAATTATGCGAACTGTAAATATCTTGAAGGATGCTGATGATCCTTATTAATAGATTTCCCCCTCTTTACTGCTGACTGCCTATCTCCTAAATATTCCATATAAACAAAAGAAAGTTGGCAACAATGGCAAAACAAGACAAAACTCAGTGTATAAAAACCTTATAAACCACACAGCCCACATTGGGCCCACACATCTCTTTCATAATTATCATTCTTCCCATATCTACATCTCACTCTGGAGCTTTAGGAAAGCATGTGGGAAAAATTATGTTAAAAGGCCCATAATGAAATAGCACTACCATTTTATATCTCATTCTCCCATTCAAATTTAAGCCCAAAGATGAAACAAAGAGCCCAAAGATGAAAAAAAATTCTATTCCTCAAAAAATGTTAATACGTATTGTGCAAATAAAGGGCTCAATGGCCAAAAATGTCTGGGAACCAATACCCCTTGCTTGGAGATTTACAATATTCATTAGCATATTAAAATCTCTGAGAAATCCTGTTTTAAAAAACAGACTAGCAAAACTGTTTGATATTGTAAATCTAGGCATTTACCAAATTTCTTTACTAGTAACAATTTGGGGGGAAACATCTATTAACACCTGATGGAACACTGTTGGGGAAACCTAGAATAGAAAGATTTTGTCAGAACTTCTCAAAGATGAGTATCATCCCAGTCACAACATAGGAGATACTAAATTCACTTGGATAAAGAAGGGGCTATATATATATATATTACACACACACAATGGAATATTAGTCATAAAAAAGAATGAAATCATGCCATTTGCAGTGACATGGAAAGAACTAGAGTATTATGCTAAGTGAAATAAGTCAGAGAAAGACAAATACTATATGATTTCACTCATATGTAGAATTAAGAAACAAAACAAGTGAACAGGGGAAAAAAGAAAAAAAAAAGAGAGGCAAACCAAGAAACAGACTTCTAACTGTAGAGAACAAACTGATGGTTACAGGAGGGGACGTGCCCAGGAAGATGGGTTAGATAGGTAATGGGGATAAAGGAGGGCACTTGTGACGAGCACTGGGTGTTGTATGTAGGTGTTGAATCACTAAATTCTACACTGAAAACTAATATTACACTGTATGTTAATCAACTGGAATTTAAATAAAAATGTAAAAAAAATTCACTTGGAAACTGTACTTTTATGATATTTCCCAGTTAAAAACCACAACTTGATTTCATGATTATCGAATGACGAACTGAAAGCAAAGTGAGCACCAATCAGCATGCCAATTTCATCAAGAATAATAATAATAAAAAAATGTAATGAGCTGATTAGGGAGGTGGCAAAACTTGATTACATGATCAGATTCAGTAAATCCAGTGACTTCTGATTTTGGCAAAGACACTGTCATTGCTCTTTCAAGCACTTAAGAACAGGATCAGTGTTACATAAAAGTTTTCAGCCCAAACAAAGGGTGGTTTAATTGCTTCAGGAAAAGAACCAGTAGGCATAACATAAGAATTCAAGAGAAGAGTATTAAGTGCTAATACTGGATCCCAAAAATTTATATAGCAGAACTAGCAGAATCCATCCACAAAACAAGTGATGAGTTCATATACCAAGCAGTAAGTGTCATTACTGTTTCCTTTATCACTGGCAGCTATAAAAGACCACTTCTGGTCAATGATAACAATATGTATTCTCATCATAAGGGGGCTAAAAAGTGGAAATAAGGTTGGAAGAAAAAAAGGAAAACAAGATTATGAGTCCTCAATCTTTTCTTAGTTCACGCTCACCTTTACCCTGATAACTACCTTCAAAATCATTCCCATACCCACTCTTGGACCCCGAAATATCCAATCTTATGGATATTCCACTCATCTTCCCTTTTCTCCTTCAATCCTGGGTTTCCGATTTCTAGCTATCTTTCAGAATTTTCACTTATGAGCCACAACATCACCAGAAAGGAAGCAAGGAAAAGAAGTGGAAGTTTTACAAGTAATTCAACATAAATTGCAAATTAATCATGTCATTTGGAAAATCTTGCTTCCCTTGCAGAACAAATCTAACCAATATTCTAAGTAATAATCTTTTTGCTAAAACAACATGAACAAATAACTGGTAAATCTCACCTGATGCTTCATATAATGATGCATGTAGGGTGTTGCAATTTTAATAACTTTGAGGCAAAATGGACATAGCAAGTTCTTAGTGTTTTCGTGGGATGTTCTAAAATGAGTCTCTACATCAGAAAATGACGATGATCTATAATTGCAAACCTACAAATAAAGAAGGTTTAGTTTAACTTGAAAATGTATGATATACAATTACAAAGTAACAATGATAGGTCATTTGTTTAGAAGAACATCAGCTACAACTCATTCAGCTCTGATACCTATATAACCAAGAATCCCATTAATGCAAGCACCGAAAGATAATCTTTGAGACAGAAAACTTATCTATCAAAGTTTAAGGATACTTCCCAAAACGTAAGTAGGTATCCTTCTTTTTATCAGATCTTTTTATTTACCACCCCCATCTTGACTTGGAATTTCATACTATAAAATTTTTTTTCTGCTACATAAAACAGCACCTTCCTTTAGATTATAAATGGCCTCCAGGCTATGGCAATATATTTTTATCTTCTTTTTCTATCTCTTCTTCAAATTCTGAAAAAATGCTAATCCCAAAGCATTTGGTAGGGTTCTCTGTAACTAAAAGCATTTCATACTTCCCTTGTATTCTTCCTTATATGGTAAAATAAGTCCCTATGCTTGTCTTTCTGCCACAGGGCTTTTCTTTGTCCAATCGGGAGTAGGTATAAAATGGCCTGTGGGCCAATTTCAACTCTCTGCTGACCCCACATACAATGCATGAGTTATGCCAAAGTTTTTTTTATTAATAAATAGTTTACAAGAGGAATTTTAATTTTAGTAACCAATTTTATCTAAATCGTTAGGAAAATAAAAGAATATATTTCATGGCTCATGAAAATTATGTGAAATTCAGATTCCAGGGTCCATAGATAAAGTTTAAATAAACACAGAGCCAGATCACGTCCATTTACTTGTCTGTGGCTGCCTTTGTGCTACAATGGCAGAGCTGATTAGTTGCAACACAGACTGTATGACCCTCAAAGCCTGGGGTGCTTTATATCTGGTGCTTTACAGAAAAAATTTGCTGACCCTTGGCCCAGTAGGTTTAAATCTTATCATCAAAACACCAGAAAACAAACAAACCAAACAAACACTAAGTATACAATAAAATATGTGTAGTATACCTGGCAAATATATGGCATTTCCCCAGGCTTATGATTGTCCTTCATATGCTGTAAAAGAATATGCTCTGTTTCAAATGATAATTCACAGATTTTGCAAATGGCTAAAAGTGGGGGGAGAAAAGACATTACATCATTTTAAGATATAGATATACACATTACACACACACACAAATATCAAATCATTATGTTGTATAACTGAAACTATATGTCACTTATACCTCAATTAAAAAAAATCTATCTTCACCAGGCAAACAAAACAGATATATATGTGTAAAATTCATTTTATATATCTATATCAACAAAAATAACAATAGCATTGGTGTGCCTAACACAGTTCTAAGTACTTTACTTACATTAGCTCACTTAATTCCCACAACAGCATTATGAAGCACGTATTTCTATTATCCCCATTATTCAAATATTAAGTAACTTGCCTGAGATCACATAGCTGTATTAAGAGGCAGACCTGGGATTTGAACTCAAGCTATCTAGCTCCAAAATGATTTTAACTATGACTGTAGTTATTTTTCTTATTCAAGTTTAAATGAAGGGCATTAATTTCATATTTGAAAACTATGATCTGAGGTTTTTAATTTAGTTCCCCACATATAATGCACAGGCTTTTTACTTTAATGAATTATTTATAAGAGGGGCTTTAATTTTAATAACTAGTTTTAACAATTTAGGTAAGTTAAAACTTCTCCAATATTGCCCCCAAATTCCAAAGTCTTTTTCTTAGTCTTATTCCTTTAACAAGCTTCTTTCTCAGAGTTTACATCATCAAAATTGATACTATCCCATACTTAAGCAGAACTGTAACTTACTAGAAAATTCATGGGGTGTATGCGTGCTTTCAATGTGACACTGCAGTTGAAATGGTGTGGGAAACTGACGATAGCAGTGCTGGCAGGTGGTGTGGTTTTCCCAGCTCTCACTGCTCTGCTTCTCAAGTTCCAAATGGTGTTTCATGTGGTTCATAAACCTATAAATGATTGTCAACAGGTGCAAAAATTCGGATTTAAAAACAAAAATCTAACAAATATCTGAGTCTAAATCTTAAAAATATAGATACATTATTCAAAATAAAATCTCAAAAGCCTTAAAAGTCCTCTAGAAAACTGTGTGTTTTAAATAATCACTTTCATTACATGGCCAAATAAACATCTTTGCTTTAAAAGAATCCATCAATGTAAAAAAAAAAAGAATTCATCAATGTAATTAATCTGAAATATTACTAATTTGCTCAAATTCTTAATCATTTCAGAGTATTAAAATGTTTTTTAAAGATAAAAAAAGCAGGCTTTTTTTCCATACATGAATACTATTTACATTTTTAAATAAAATACGTCAAAGGAAGGAAACCCTACCACCAAAAGCAGCTACAGTCATGAGAGAAATCTTTTAAGGCTGTGAAGATATACAATAGATTCCAGCTGTTTAAAAGACAAATTACTGGTATTTTTACTTGTGTCTTGGTTTCTAAATGCATGTAATAGCAATTTTAATGCCTACAATTACAAGAACCTTTTGTTTTATTTAATGATACTGGTTTACTGTTAGCACAGACTGTTCATTTTAACTTGCAGACTGTGCCCTTTGTAGGCAATGTCCATTTTTCAGTTTCACATTCTGCTATTTCAGCTTCCCTAAAAGGCTTCTTATGAGCAGGAACTATGACCTTCAACAGCAAAGAGTGCAATATAAATGGGAATACCTTTTTAAAAGAGCTTACTAAAGCTTTTTGCTGAATTTGAAAGTAAGGTTATGACAATTTTTAGTCTGGGTCAACTATTAACAATTACTCACTTTGAGCCCATAAAGGAAAGAATCTTGAAAGTAAGTGATAATGTCATTAATCTGGATAGCAGTCACCATGAAGGCTATAACATTTATCTCTCGTTCACACCTTCACAATAGTACTTCTCTTGAACAGGTTATGGCACACTTTGAAATATCTTTTTGTCCTCCCTTGGTTTTAACACCAGCTCTACAAACACCTATAGAAAATCTTAGTCTTGGCCAAATATTTATACATAGAGAAAAGGTCATGAGCCATTAAACTTTTGGCTCACAACTTTAAGCAATTAAAGTGTATCTGTATAAAATAATCTCTTAACTAGCAAGCTTTCGCACAATTATTGTATGAGCCCCCATTGGGAATGCAAGCTACTTAAACCAACAGATGGAAATGAAGGAAACATAAAAGCAAACTTCTTACAAGGATGTTCACAGAATAAAATAAACCTGTTTTTGGTGACTCTCAGTGTAGGAGAAAAAAAAAAATCATTCCACAATATGTTGACAAGGCAGAGAGTAAAAATCTATAGCTACCATTTCTACCATTCTCTACAAACATCAATTTGTCTTCCCAGTTTTACTGTTAAGATAAAATATTATTTAACATATATAACTTCTTTGGTTACAAAGTATTTACCATTAAGGTTATGTTTCCTAAACAATCAGTATTTCAAAAAATGCTCAATTCCAGGATGTTATAAATACTGTTTGCTTTAAATTTTGAAATATTCAGGTACTCTAGAAATATGTAGCTAGTCTTCTGAAATAATAACAAGAAAAGGAATTTAACCTTCATATGTTTAATATTAAGTGGGCTAATCTCAAAGGAAAAGCCAAAAGCTATTGCTGAAATAACCTCTAATATATACATATTTAAGTATAACAAGGAACTAAGTCAATGAAACATATTTCTGCGCTTTCACCATATTTATTAACATGATTCTTCTGGTGTTTTTTACTATTAAAATGTTAAGAATATGGAAATAGGTGACAGAGTTCTACTGTAATATTGTTTCAGTGTTATATCACAAAGTACAATATCCCTTCTGTTAAACCATTAACTATTGATGGCTGTTAAAGTTTAATTAAAGGAGATAAAGAAATGTGAGGACTCATGAAATAACATATGTGAAACAATTTGGAAACTATAAAGCACCACCATGAACAAAGCTTTAATAATTGTTTTAGGAGTATATCAAAATGTATTTCAGGGTTTTTCTATACACTTCTTTTTGGACCTAAGAACTCACAGGAAAATGAATACTGGGTCCAGAAGTAACCTATAGGTACCTAAGAATGCTATTTACAAAGTTATCAAAGGTAAACATAAAAAGGCATACATACGTATGTTTGTACAAACACACACACACATCTAAGTATACTGATGTCTGCAACTTACTTTGAAATGCAGAAGAAAAAAATAGTTTGAAGGAAGAATGAACAGATATATGATGCAGCAAGTACAGTAAAATGTTAATGGTAGAATCAAGGTGATAAGCCTACAGTATCTGCTGTAAAATTTTTTAAACTTTGCTGCATGTCTGAACATTTTTATAATAAAATGGTATAAAAACAACCTTACCTAATATAAATGTCAAGCTATATAACCACTGAAAAATATCAATCAGTATGTCTTATTACTTTGTTCTTGTTACGTACTCATTTATAGGATGACAGCTACTAATATGCCATGTAACTCAAAGATCACAAAGTTCCTAAAATTTAAAGCATACATGTATAAAATTAAAAATTTCACTGGAAATTAAATTTCTAATTTTTAAAGGGGTTAATTTTAAGCAGACGTGTACTTCTCTAAAGAAGATCACCTTTCCTGCAAGGTAAATGTTCTAAAAATTATAAATCTGAATTAAAAGACTTGAGCATTAAATAAGATTAGTATGGAGGAGGTCAAACTGGACATACTAAAGTGGTTCTTCTTGTGAAGAAAAATAAAATTCAAATGCAGCTAAAAATGAAAATGATCTCATGGAAATTCCTAAAACAGTGATAATATAGGGGAAAAAGTTAATTTTTGAAATAAAGTTTGTCCTGGGCGCCTGGGTGGCTCAGTTGGTTAAGCGACTGCCTTCGGCTCAGCTCATGATCCTGGAGTCCCTGGATTGAGTCCCGCATCGGGCTCCCTGCTCGGCAGGGAGCCTGCTTCTCCCTCTGACCCTCCCCCCTCTCATGTGCTCTCTGTCTCTTTCATTCTCTCTGTCTCAAATAAATAAATAAAATCTTTAAAAAATAATAATAATTAGGGCGCCTGGGTGGCTCAGTTGGTTAAGCGACTGCCTTCGGCTCAGGTCATGATCCTGGAGTCCCTGGATTGAGTCCCGCATCGGGCTCCCTGCTCGGCAGGGAGTCTGCTTCTCCCTCTGACCCTCCCCCCTCTCATGTGCTCTCTCTCTCAAATAAATGAATAAATAAAATCTTAAAAAAAAAAAAAGAAATACAACTAAGTGGATCCAGGAGTCAACTCTAAATTACAAGAAAGAACAAAGGTTTTCAACAGGACAATCTGCCTTTGTCCTTAGTAGAAAGTATTAAAATTGCTTATCTAGAATGGCACAGAAAAATACAAGATAAAGATACAACATTTATATCTGCAGCATTCCAATTTTCAAAAGGAAATGAAAATAAGTATTTACATACCTAATATTATTTTTAAGAATTTTCAAGCAACTGAAGCATTTAAAAGTTGTGTGAGTCTTCTGTTCTTCCTGGACATCTCCTTCATGTTTTCCATAATAAAAATCATTAACTAACATGATCAATTTTCCTTTCTCTGAATCAACAGCCTTATTTTTATTTGCTGTACTTGAAAATTCTGTTTTAGCCAGTCCTAAAAAGTTATTTATCATGTCTGGACAACAGTACTGAAAGAGAAAAAACAGAAGTCTTATTTATCCCTTAAAAAAATTAGATATCAAAAAGCAATTCTATGTTTACAACTAAAGTCAGACCATGTAAAACTATGCTTGGTAATATGTCTGGAAAAATATTAATCTACAAGTATGTGGTACATACGCACACTCTAAATAACAATAAACACCATTATCATAATAAGCAACAACAAAATTTTTTAAAAGAAAAACCCTAAAACTAGGACTTGGCTACTGATGTAATAGTTTTTTTCCTTGCAATTTATCTTTTCAGATATAAATACTGCATAATAACTTAAATGTTTAATTAAACTAAAATTTATTCATTTCATATCCATGTCAAGATAGAGCACAGAAAGGAAATGTAGTTTTACATGCCATAATGTATATGTTTAGTTATCAATATATGAAATTTCATAACATCTAGTTAGAACTAAAAATTGAACACAACTTGCCATTGCCCAGATGCAAGGTGCTAGAAAATGTGTAAGGAAAAAAAAGATGTTGAACAATTCTTTAAAAATTAGTAACATCTTGATAAATTCTACAGTTAGACCTTGAAATCTAGAATGCGTAAATATTTGAAGGGGAAATTTAGTTCCTCATGAATAAAATCAAGATGTCACATAAACTGGTTCTAATGTGGAATAATTTCATACGTGAGCTTTTTTTTCAACAAGATATAATTAATTCATCTATTGTACATCATTTTCAGTTGTAGAATTTCTCTATGGCAGTTTTTCTCAAAAGCCAGTCCAAAGAAGACCTGCATTAGAAAAACCAGAAGTACTTGTCAAAATACTAATTCCTGGGCCCACTTCAGACCCATAAATCACAATGTATCTAGATACAGGGACCAGAAATCTTTATTTTTCAACAAGCCACCCAGGTAATTCTTTTACAACATACGCCAGCTGACTTAAACTCTTCCTAAATGTGCTATTTAGTAAATTAATAACAACATTAAAAAGTTTGAAACTCTGAATTCTATTTCTTTTTTTAAAAAAACTCAATTAGCCAAGGTATAGTACATCATTAGTTTTTGATATAATGTTCAATGATTCATTAGTTGAATATATAACACCCAGTGCTTATCATATCACATGCCCTCTTTAATTTCCATCACCTAGTTACCCCATCCCCCCACCCACCTCCCTTTCCCCAACCGTCAGTTTGTTTCCCCGAGTCAAGAGTCTCATATGGTTTGTCTCCCTCAATTTCTAGGATAACATCCATTTCATCTCCTGCCACACTGAAATGTTAGATCATTGGTAAAATGTTCTGTATCACATGGGAAGCTGGGTCTTTGATCCAGGACAGACCTATAACATTTCAATTGGATTTATTTTGTTCATTTGTCAATTCTGAAACCTTTGGGGAAAAAAATACCAAGAAAAAAATCTAAAATAGATCTAAAAGAAAGGGGAAAAATACTGAATAAAATGAGCCCACATACAGTGACACAATTTGTGTTTAGGAGTTAAGGTTGCATCCATAAGCTAAATAAGGATAAATACATTAGGTCCCTAATACTACATGATGCTCTGAGGTCAACCACTCAGAATAAATACAGTTGAAATGAAACCACACGAAAAGAGGGAAATGAGAAGTTTCTAGATACTTCTTGGGACACATGTAATATTTAAGAGTTTAGGAAAGTCAGACTATTTCTTAGGACTATTATAAGGTTAAGTTCCTTCTAAAAAATGCTGGTTTTGAATTTAAGGATAAGTGGAGAAAAGGATGGTTCAGGGTAATCCATTAGCACTATCAGAAAAATAACTCAAAATACATGTCTTACTATAAATCCTTTTGATAGGGTGCCTGGGTGGCTCAGTTGGTTAAGCCACTGCCTTCGGCTCAGGTCATGATCTTGGAGTCCCGGGATCGAGTCCCGCATCGGGCTCCCCGCTCAGCGGGGAGTCTGCTTCTCCCTCTGACCCTCTCCCTTCTCATGCTCTCTCTCTCTCTCTCATTCTCTCTCTCAAATAAATAAATAAAATCTTTAAAAAAAAATCCTTTTGATAAACAAAATCCCTGATCTTATCTGCAATTTTACCACAGAAGTGATCTCAAACAACAATGGGAAACATTATAATGCACAAAAATGATATAATATAGAATAGTGTCCCTAATTAGAAATGTGGACAATCATATGTATTCAAACATTAAATTTGGTTTTCAGACTGTAGAAGTTATTGAGTCATATTTGAGACTTGACTCTTTTCTAAAATCTATAAAATAACTTACGTAGTCTATAGTAGAGTGTGCTGCAAGGTTACATTTTTCAGAAACATCTAATGTGGTACATCTATAAAAGTTAAAGTTACCTTAAATGCTCATAAATTATAATATACATAACAGATGATCAATTGCTGTTTTTTCATTTTCTTTCTTTTTTTTAAATAAAAAAGATAGGAACAGGTTTTAAAAATAAATATACAAATCTCAACGTATCCTTTTTTCTTTTTTTTTTTTTTTGAGTATAGTTGACACACAATGCTACATTACTTTTATTCACAGTATCTTTAAGCAATGTTTCAGATCCCTATAAGACAGATGGATGATAAACCACTGAAAACCAAGAATGGACAACCTAGTTCAGGAAATTTAGTAATTGAGAGAAAAGCAAAGAACCCCAAAGAAAATATTCAAAAGGCAAGAAAGCAACTTAAGAAATGAGAACTAGGCTTATACTGAAGGTTTTATAGGAGGATAGAAAAAGCTATGGATGGCACATTTAGCTATGGTCTAAGACCAACTGGTCATCTTTTATTCAGTCCTAAAACCCTTTTGGTTCTAGCCCGTCACTGAAGCCCTGGGTTATCCCTTATTTTCCTGGGGAAAAAATACTAAATACTTTAATGACATATTCTGTAATTTGACAAACAGCAGATACCACCAAAATACCATTCTCATCTTTCCTCCTCCCAGTAGAGAGACCATGTTCTATTGCTTTGTTAGTGCCTAAAAATTTAGGTTAGATTTTCAGAACAAAGAAAGTGGGATGCTATTTTTAAACAGTAAAACAGAAGTTCCCATATGATCATCCTACATAAGTCAACATTTTCCCCTTCTCCTGCTGGGACTCATCCAAAGCCACAACAACCAAATTCTAAAAATTTATTTTCATTGAAACTAAGAGCCAGATAAAATCCACAGACTCTACAACATATGAGAGCACTACCCAAATCAGCCAAGCTCAGACAGAAGATACGTAGTTGGAAGCAGATCAGAGAAATCAAAAGGACCCAATAGTAACAGATCTTAGAATGTGTCAGCAAAAATTGGCATTCTAAAGGTGAAAGACACATCCTGAAGTGCAAAGCCACATACTTTGTTTACAAAAACAGGTACAGAAGCTGGGGCAAGAAGGATGGCAGAAGTCCCCCAGACTTCATTTGGTACAGAGAAGCAAATTAGGCAATGCTAACATATAAAATCAGACACAAGTCACATTTGCAGAAAGACTTCTGCCCAGCAAAGAGGTGTATAAACCAGTTAGCAGGATGTGAGATTATCCTGGTAACCTACACTTCCCAAAAGGGGCCTTGTACAAAAGAGTTAGCCCAAGAAAATCCAACTTGTTCTTCACTGTGATTGAAATTTACATCTAAACAAAAATAAGATAAAAGGAGGAAAATGTAAAATTCTGACAAAAACACCATGGAGCAGTTGCAGATGAAAAGTGACGTAAATTATTGCTATGAATTTTAAAAACTTAATGAAGTAATTGTGTCTATTTGGAAAACCACAAAGCAACAAGAAATGGCAAGACAAACGACATAAAAAAGGAGGGGCAAAATCGAGGAAAAAGTAGAGAAATCAGAGAGATAAAGACAGAAAGAAGAACAGCAGTGAACAGGCATTTTCTTTGGAGAAAAGTCTGTTCATGTCTTCTGCCCATTTCTTGATTGGATTATTTGTTCTTTAGATATTGAGTTTAAGTTCTTTATAGATTTTGGATACTAGCCCTTCATCTGATATGTCATTTGCAAATATCTGCTCCCATTCTGTAGGATGCCTTTTAGTTTTGTTGACTGTTTCCTTTGCCGTGCAAAAGCTTTTTATCTTTTTTTTTTTTTTAAAGATTTTATTTATTTGTTCATGAGAGAGAGAAAGATGCAGAACGAGAAGCAGGCTCCCAAGGAGCAGGGAGCCCGATGCGGGACTCGATCCCAGGACCCTGAGATCATGACCTGAGCCGAAGGCAGACGCTTAACCATCTGAGCCACCCAGGCGCCCAAAAGCTTTTTATCTTGATGAAGTCCCAAAAGATCATTTTTGCCTTTGTTTCCCTTGCCTTTGGAGACGTGTCTACCAAGAAGTTGCTGTGGCCAAGGTCACAGAGGTTACTGCCTGTGTTCTTCTCTAGGATTTTGATGGATTCCTGTCTCACATTCAGGTCTTTCATCAACAAGTCTATTTTTGCGTATGGTGTAAGGAAATGGTCCAGTTTCATTCTTCTGCATGTGGCTGTCCAATTTTCCCATATATCATAATTAAAGGGTCTATCCAACAAGAAGATCTAATATATGTAAATATTTATGCCCCTAACATGGGAGCAGCCAATTATATAAACCAAAGAATAAAAAAATTAAAGAAACACACTGATAATAACACAATAATAGTAGGGGACTTGAACACCCCACACACTGCAATGGACAGATCATCTAAGCAGAACATCAACATGGAAATAAGGGCTTTGAATGACACACTTAACCAGATGGACTTCACAGATATATTCAGAAGACTGCATCCTAAAGCAACAGAACACACATTCTTCTCAAGTGCACACGGAACATTCTCCAGAATAGATCACATACTGGGTCATAAATCAGGTCTCAACTGGTACCAAATGCTGGGATCATTCCCTGCATATTTACAGACCACAATGCTTTGAAACTTGAACTCAATCACAAGAGGAAATTTGAAAAGAACTCAAATACATGGAGGCTAAAGAGCATCCTACTAAAGAATGAATGGGTCAGGGG